ACTGTGTCTGTTGGTGATTCATCTGTTGATGTATTGTTTGATTCCGGGGCTACGCATTCGTTTGTTGCAACCCCGATTTCTTTGGGGTTTGAGTTGCCCATGTCTGTGCTTTCTCCACCATTGCAGGTGACTACTGCCACTAGAGAAAAGTGTGATGCTACCACTGTACATCGAGATGTCGTGTTTCAATGGGAGAGCCGTGACTTCTCGGTAGATCTGATAGGGTTGCCGATGGCTAATTTGGAAATCATCCTTGGCGTGGATGGATTGTCCAATAGTTGATTGATTGATTGATTGTTGTGCCTAGCGAGTGGTGATGTCTCTGTGTGAGTCCACAGCCAGTTCCTCGCCTTTTATTGCTACGGGCTAGGAGGGCCTTGTGGGCAGGGACATTGATTATGTCATGTTGTGAGGTTTGGTGAGTGGGACACATGAGGATCTCACTGGCATTCTTGTGGTGAAGGAATTCCTCAAGGTGCTTCCTGAGGAGAGTCCTGAGTGTTTGCCACAGTGGGAGATAGCATTCTCCATTGAATTGTTGCCTGGTGTGGGGCCTTGTTATTAGCTCCATACCGGATGCCGCCAAGGATGATATAAATATTTGCATGTTAAATATTTATACCATGTATCGCATTGTTAATAAATTTATACCATTTACATGTTAAATATTAAACATTTATACCATGTAACATGCCGCCATGTTACACCTACTAATGTAACATGGTCGGGCTGAGTTTTTAAATACTGATTGGATTACGATTATCATTTATTGATTTTAATATAAATATTTGTGATATCTTATGGGTTTTTGCAAAATCGATAAGTATTATAAGTTTAGCTTCATTTTTTTAATTATTGAATATTAAATATAATATACATTACATAAATTAAAAATATTTAATATTAAAACGTGTCCAAACGTGTCAAAATTTAATATTTTTTAGCATTATATGTCGGAGTATCGCATTGTGTCGTATCCCGTGTCCTAAATCAGTGTCGGTGCAACATAGCCCATGACAATAAAGGTAGAAAGTCCAAATCTAACTGATTGTTGCAACATTCAAGTACTCTGCTTAGCTTTGGATGAGGTACATAATACTTAAATTTATTCGAGTCATAGCATTTGATTTGAAAAGAAACATAGTTGCTTTTAAGAATGTGAGATAAAGGGGCTAGGATTATATCTTAATTTCGGCAAGATACTACATATAAAATTGTTGAATATTTTTTCTAATTTTTGTTTCTACCATTCACTTGCTTTTGTGCAGGTTGAATTTTGAAGCAGCGATATAAGATTTTCTGCTTGCTTTTTAAGATTCATGGCCACAAATTCTAATCACAGAAAAAGGCTCTATTTTCACAGAAAAAGGATGTGTACATATAATTGTCCTGAGAAGCCAGCTCCCAGTGGTAGCATTAGCACTAGACTGTTCTTTTTATTCATAGCCAGTCTTTACCATGTATCAGAATTGTAATAATTTTCTCGTATAAAAAATGAAAATAAATTATATTTTTTTATATCGGGTTAATTTTTTTGTTAATAAAATTAAGTTACTCTACTAATGGATGGTCTATTTACGGACCGTACGTGCTGATATAATGCTAGCCACATGTCAACTTAATTCACAACTATTAAAACTTGTCCCCCTTCACGCCTATTATAGAACTAAGTTTTGTGTATTTTCTTGTCATTCCTACTTATTAAAGCAGGGGTGTACATGTTTACCGAAGAAAAATCGAATTAAATTGAATTTTTTGAAAAATTAAACTGAATTGATTTAAACAGTTCGGTTTGAAAACGATTTGATTCAGTTTAAAATAGATTCAGTTCGATTCAGTTCACAGTTCGGTTCAATTTTTTGATTATTTTGTGTATCCCTATATAGTAAAGTAAGGGTGTTTATAATTTCAAAATTAAAACAATTTAAATTAAATAAAAAAAATTCGAAATAGAAAATTAAACAAAAAAAATTAAGTTTCATTTTGTAAAATTTTTAAATGATAATAAAATTATTTAGTTTAATTTTTTTTTATTTACAAAGCTGCAAAACAAAACCAAATAAAACTTGCATAATTATACATTACTGCAATTGAATTTCATATAATTAGATTATTTGGCATGGACTTACATGGGCTAAAAGTTATTTGGCATAATTATACAGGCAAAAAAATTAAAATAATGTATTTAAATTAAATAATTACGCATTTAATGTTGTTTCGTAAAAAATTACAAATCTACTGCACAATGTGACGCCAGTTTTGGGCGTCACATGTGACGCCCCAATGGGGCGTCACATATGACGCCCAAAACTAGCGTCACATGTGTGCTCTATATATTTCCTCACCCCCTCCATTCAATTCACACCTCTTTTCTCACTCTTCATATCTCTCTTCTCCACCAACATTCCTTTATCTTTAATTTAGTATTTGAATTTTAGTTGTAATTCTATTTAAAAATGAGCTCAAATCCTGATTCTGTTCGTGTTGAGTTATATTACAATGGTAGGAAGGTAGAAGGTCGACGAGGTGTCATATTCGAAGGTGAAAAAAGGCCGACACGTATCCAACGCAACACAACCGTTGGCGATTGCATCAGAGAATTCGGCAGAAGTTAAGTCTTCAAGACAACCAATGTATCACCGAGATCACAACAAGGGTGTGGCAAGGTGATAAATACATTAGTTTGAAAGTGCTTGACGATGAAGACTTGGAGATGACAATGGAAGAATTTTGCAACCAGTCAAGGACAGATTTTCTAGAGTTGTATGTCGACATCGTTGCAACGGAGAATGCTCCCATACCGGTGAGGTCAGTTTATTTAAATTCTCCCCGTCTTCCAGCTTCTCCTGCCGCTCATGCGTCTCCAGTTGGTAACTTTTCTGAGGGAGATGAAAATGATCCGACTTGGGAAATGCACGACGAAGATGACGATGAAAATATGGCAATGGAAGAACATCTTCTGGCGGAGGATGCTAGTTCTTCAGAAGGAGATGAATCTCGTGAGATGGGTGCGTCTGAAATTCCAATATTCCATCAACCAGTCGTCGCGCAAATGCCGCAGTTGAATGACGTTGCGTCTGCTCCGTTTGGTATTCCACAAGAAGGTAATTGTTCCCATTTGTATACTGCGTGAATAAATAACTGATTTAATACCTGAATTAGTAAGTTCGTATTAAAAAATTATAATCCGCAATTGCAGGTGACACAGATGTTATTCCTTTTTGGGAAGGAATTCCGTATTATTCTTACATTGATTGGAGTTATCAGAGCGAATAAGAATCATGTACTGATGGTTCGGTGTCTGGATCGGCTTCAATACAAGGTTTGTGGCAACTGGGTGACATGTTATTTGTCAATCAAGAATTTGCGACAAAAAAAGATGTCCAAATGGCACTTAAGCACAACCTTATTAGGGAGCATCAAGAAGCCATTGTAATTGAGAGCACGCCTGCAAAGTTGTCCATGAAATGTTGTGCATACGATCAAGGTTGTCCGTGGCGCGTAAGGGCGATCAAACCGGTGTTTCGTGAAAATTGGAAAATAACGAGATGGGTGGAAAACACGAATGTGTGAATGAGCACATTTCCCAGGGTCATAGACAGCTCGATGCGGACGTTATTGCAGATCTCGTGATAGGTACCTTTTTGTATTTTAGATGTGTGATTGAACACAAATGTGTAATTAAATTCGTTCGATGTTATCGAGGCACTGATATCCTCTTCAATGCAGGGATGATAAAGTCTGAACCATCTGTGTCAATCTCTTTGGTGCAAGAAAGGATAACTGCTAAATATGGCTTTCAAGTTTCCTACAGAAAGGTGTGGTATGCGAAGCAGAAAGCGATGGCAATTCTGTACGGTGATTGGGAGGAATCGTATGCTTTTTTACCAAGGTGGTGCGAATACATGCTTCGCTTTTTCCCAGGTTCATTTTATCATATACAAACTAATGATCTTTATGCCGAGCAGAGCTTAGTTTCTGGAAAAAAGGTTTTTCATCGTATTTTTTGGACGTTTAGACAGTGTTGTGAGGCGTTCAAATTTGCCAAACCCGTCATCCAAATTGATGGAACACATTTATATGGAAAGTACAAAGGGAAATTGTTGGTGGCCATAGCCCAAGATGGTAATAATGAATGTTTACCGATCGCATTTGCCATCGTAGAAGGCGAAACTTTGGAAGCATAGGATTATTTTCTCGTTAATATTCGTGCTCATGTGACTACGATGTCAAACATATGTTTGATATCCGATCGGCATCGAAGCATAATATCTGCTGTGGAAAATAACCCTACTTGGCAGCCGCCAAATGCGTATCACGTATTCTGTATTCGTCATATTGCAAGCAACTTCAATCAAAAGTTTCGAAATGAAGATTTGAAGCGGATGTTAAAGAATTTAGGTATACTCATTGACTGAATGCGTAATTATTTCTTTCCATCATGATTGTCAATTTATGCTTAATTCGTTTATGTCCAATTTGTGCAGGTTATACTCCAACAATGGTTGATTTTGAAAGGAATCTTGCGAGTTTCCGTGAAAGTAGTCCTCAAATTGCTGAGCGGATAGATGCGATTCCTAAGGAAAAGTGGTCGCGTGCCTACGATATTGAAGGACGGAGGTACGGTCATATGACAACAAATTTGGCTGAATCTGTCAATAGGGTTTTGAAGGGGGCCAGAAATATGCCTATAACAGCATTGGTTAAGCATACATATAGCAGATTGGTTGCATATTTTGTTGAGAGAGGAACAAATGCTCTTGCACAACTTCAATCAGCTCATCGTCACTCCAAACATGTTGTTGAATTGGTCAAGAAGAACCAGGTAGATGCAACAGGCCACCACGTTCGTGCATACAATGTTGAACATACTGTATTCGAGGTTGACGCAGGTTGAGAACGTTCATATTCTGTCAACCTCCCACAGAGATACTGTCAGTGTGGAAAGTTTAAGGCCTTTAAGTATCCATGTAGTCACGTCGTTGCTGCTGCGTTAAGTGTTAGGCAGAGTGTGGAGGAAGGGGTGGAGCAATGGGTGGGAATCGTATCCATGCCCAAATTTGAAGGAGAATATGGCAACCACCCATGTCGCTTCGACGAGCATCTGTCACTTCACACAAATTCCTGAACAAGTGTGTCAAAACTGCAGATCCCCAGCTGAGTCGGCCAATGTCCTCAAATCCTCCACCTAGCAACGGGACAAGCCGGCAACCAAAATTGCTACCTCCAGACTTGTCCGCCAGCAACCAAGTCCCTAACATTCGGGCAATGTGGGCTTTTGTGAAGTAGATCTCGGCAACATGATTCCCTTCATGATCAGTCCACCGGGTATAATGTCGATCCAAGAATGAGATGCGGAGGTCGCCAGAATGATGGAACTCACCGGCCTCTGGAACATGTCCAAAAACAGCAGCACAAGCAGCGTGCCAATCCTCAGAGGTCGATCCGATGACGACAGTACCGTCGGTCGGCAAGCCCAAGATGCCTGCCACATCTTGTAAGGTGATCGTCATCTCACCTTGGGTCATGTGAAAGGTATGTGTCTCTGGTCTCCACCTCTCGACCAGAGCACTAATTAAAAATGTATCTATCTGTGATAAATTACGCAGTTATCACGTGTTAACGAATTTTATTAAATAATTACATAAATACAAAACGACATAAATAACATACCTGGATATGTTGCATCCTGGCAACATGTATGAAACCCGCCTGTCTGAGGTACTCTTCCACAACCTGTGGAATAGCACCGGTAGGTGGGCCCCCTTGTGGCTTCCCACGCCTAGTCTTAATCTTTCTTACATGCTAAGTATTCCACACTCGATGTGAAATATGACCTTTCTGCGTCCTCTGACGAAGGACCTCCCACCTGTACGGTCCATGTATGATCCACATGCTGGGATCGGTGGGCTCTACATCCGAATCAGATCCCGAAGAAGATGATGACTCAACCATTATCCTCAACTAACTACAAAGTTATGCACTCCCGCATTAATAACATCATACATACGAAATTTACAAAGTCTCTAACACTATTTATAAATCACTAATTAATATGCTAAACCCTAATACATAATTAAAAATCGGTAATAATAATAACTACGTAATAATAATATTACTAAATCATTACAACATTCATAGCATGACACAAAATTTCTAAGTGACTATCCTAATGTTCCAAGTCTCTAATATACAATCAATCCTAACATGTATTACTAACTAGCACTGTAATTTAAATGTATACATATGAGGTATTATGACCTTACCTACGTTGGCAGAGCTTCGCTACGAACCGCGGTTAGAGAGAGGTTAGAGAGAGGTTGAAGAGAGGTTAGAGAGGTAAATGAGTAAGGAGTGAAAAAAGGAAAGTGGGGTATATATAGGTTGCACATGAGACGCCCTCTTTGGGCGTCACATGTGACGCCCAAAGAGAGCGTCTCATTGTGCAACAGATATGTAATTTTTAACAAAACAGCATTAAATGCGTAATTATTTTAATTAATTACATTATTTTAATTTTTTTGCCCAACTTTGCAAGTTTTAACAATTTTTAGAATTTGATGTGTAAGATTTATAATAAATTCAATAACTTTGTTATGGATTTCCTATCGAATTTTTAAGTATAAATTATAGTTCTAGTTCAATAAATTATAGCTCGACTAATAATTCATCGATTGACGATTGAAATGAGAAATATAGCTCTCATGTGGTAGGAGAAATTTTTTTCTCCTCCAACGAATTAACACTATGTACCACTCGTAATATATAATTATAATTTTAAAAATTATTTTTTTCTCTCTTCGTAAACTATCTATTGATGTGAAGAAAAGAGGAAAATTATTTTTAACATTATAATTATATACATATAATATTAATTCGTAGGAAAAACCTCTTCTCCGTTGGGCCCATAATCAATGCATTGGCTGATAGGCCAGGTAAATTACTAAACAAAATGAAAATGAAAAAGTGCTTATGAGCGCAAATATCAAGCACTTAGACCCAAAGCACTGAGTTCCGACTTTCGAATAATATTTTGGCTCTTAATACAAAGTTACAAACAGCGACTGAGTGGTTGGAGGAACGATGAATAGTTCATCCCCGGCTCATTCATCGATATCGACTACGGCGGTTGTAGGTGGTGGTGGAGGAGGAGGAGGAGGCGGCAGCAGCAACGCCGCCGTTTCCGTTGACGATTTTAATTTCCCGTGCAATCCCATCTCAACGCAAGAGCGAAAGGACGAGGCCATGCGAGGTAAGGTTTATTCAATTTACTTTGTTTCTTGTTAATTTGTTATGATTTTCCAGTTATATAACGCAAGAGTATTAACCGCTGCCATTACTGTAATTTTTAAGTTTTCTTCCAATTATTGTTAACAGCTAATTGATTTTATCGTTCAATATATATTAATTGTTTTCTGATGTTCTCTTTGGGGTTTCTCAGGTTAGAACTATTATGTACCCTTGAATTGTATTCTGGTTAGGATTCATATCAGTGAAGCCTTTTTTGTCTTGTCTTGTATGTTGAATTCACTATATCATGGTTACCAAAATATTGAAGGGCCAAGATGAATCTTTGGTTTCAGTAGAGCGCAGCATCATTCTATGTTGTTTTGGAGCCAAAATATGATGCATTCTTTTGTTCACGAGGCATGCATTTAGACATTCTGTTTTCCTATTTTTGCAGTTTTAAAATCAGATCTCATGGCTGCACTTGACAAGGAGGTTAAATCCTTGGATGATGATAACTGGAAGTTTGAAGGACCTCGTTCTCGGATCCATCTTGTATCACGTCGAGGTGGTTAGTATATCAATCACTTAATGACCTTGTTACTTGTTAGAATATCTTAGATATATCTTTAGAGTTTCTTACAATATTTTAGAACGTGATTGCTATACTTTTTGGTTTCAATTGATTAAAACTTGAGACCCTAAATCTTAGTTGATTCTTGCATTTAGTTAATCAAACATACTTCAGTTGATGCTCATAAGTCATAACCATAATTTCATGGTGTTAAAACTAACTTTATGAAATCCTTCTGATTGAAAAAATAGACACATATATCAGCACTGGTCTGCTTTTTTCATGATATGTGTGCAGTTATGGATTTGGCATGATCACGAAAATGAATATATATTCTATGAATCCTAAATCAAATTTATAATCATCAACTCTGGGAATTTTCATTACCCTCCTGGTTTATCATATTTTTCTATTTTGTTATTTATTCCTCCTCTTCATTTTGATCAACATATGAACAAACAGAACTCAACTGAGTGCCTTTGGCTTTACCAGTATATTTATTATATTATCTAATGATGAATTCTCGAAAACAATCACCTCCTTGGTACATGGCTAAAATCTGGTTTGGTCAAGCCACGGGGGCTCTAGGCATTGCTTTTCCCGTCAAAGATAGTGGCAATAGATTAACGATGATTGATATGAGCCTAGGCCCACCAAGCAGCCCAATTAGCTATGGATCCAGCAACCAATACAGTGGAGAACCAAGCCCAAGGACCATCTCAAAGTACTATCGAGAACCTTCAGCCAAGGATGCAACCAGATGTGCTTAACAATAGAGAGGAGCTGAGTGAAGCTGACAGAGACTTAACGGAAGAGGATGGGAGATCTAGAAGAGTAAGGAAGAGACCATCACGATTGGAAGAGGAAGGGTACGATTGGCGAGTTTAGAGGCAACAAGACAATTTTGTATACGGATAGTAGAGAATACTGTATAGGTCTGTATACTTTCAATTAGATTGTTGCATGTTGGTATAAAGGGAAAGAGACCCGATGTAAAGGTTGTTGAATGTTGAAATAAAATTTCCTTCTTCTTTTCCCCAAATTCTCTCTTCTCTTCTCATCTCATCTTGCCAGATAGGATTCATCCTATCAATTAGTGCTTTCATCCTTCAACATGGCACCACCTGACACTCGTTCTCGTTCTATTGATGATAGGTTGGAACAAACTCAATCGGAGGTGGAGATTCTGAAAGATCAGATGAACAAGCAGTTCCAAGAGATTACTTGTAAGCTTGATGCAATTTTTTACAACTATCGGGAACAACCAGCGTCATCCAACTCGGGGAACCACAACGCCTTCGATTCTAAAGAATTTTCAGCTATTCGACATCTGCGTCTCAAAGTTCCCAGATTTGATGGGTCAATCGATCCACAGGATTGGATTTTCAAAGTTTGCCAATTCTTTGATTTTCACGGTATGGATGAAGAGCAACGTTTGCGCATTGCTCCTTTTTACTTTGAAGGAAAGGCACTCGCATGGTACAAATGGTTGCACAAGAACACCAAAATTGATTCGTGGGAGAGTTTTCTGCGATCTCTACAGGTTCGGTTCGGTCCTTCAGAATTGGAGAATTATCAAGGCCAACTTGCAAAGCTGACGCAAAAAGGCTCCGTCATTGAGTATCAGGCAGAATTTGAGACCCTTTCAAACAAGGTAGATGGTTTATCAGAATCCTTTTTGCTTAGTTGTTTTCTTTCTGGGTTGAAGACCACTATTCCACATGAGGTTGCGTCCTTTGCACCCACCACCTTAACCAGAGCAATAGCCTTAGCAAAAATACAAGAAGCCAAGCTACAATCCAAATACCCATGCCCAAGATTACATTCTTCCTTACCTCCTCTTTTGCCTACACCCACAAACCAAAACCAAAATCCCCAAACCAACCAAAAAAAATTTAATACCCAAATTACAAATAATCCCAAAGCTGCCATGCAACGCTTGACCCAAAGCCAAATTCAAGAACGTCGTGAAAAAAACCTCTGTTTTACCTGTGGAGACAAGTACTTCTTTGGCCATAAGTGCAAAGCTTCAGTTCATGTTTTGATAGTTCCGGATGAATATGATCTGGATATGGGGGGAGAAGATGGGACTGAGGAAAATCAAAATCCAAACACTTCTCTAGATCCAGACACAAATGAAACACCTCTTATTAGTTTACATGCACTTTCTGGAATTTTAACTCCACAGACTCTTCGATTCAATTGTCATATTGGAAAATTAGATTTAGTTTTGCTTGTGGATGAAGGGAGTACCCACATTTTTTTGCAACCGAGTGTAGTCTCAACCTTACAGCTACCCATGTCAACTGACCAACAATTTGATGTTATGGTGGGCAATGGTCAGACTCTCAAGTGCGAAGGATTCTGTCCAGCGGTTCCCACCAGAATACAAAACCATGTATTTTTTGGTTGACTTCTATATTCTTCCTGTCCAATGGGCAGACATGGTGTTGGGTGTTCAGTGGCTGCAAGCCCTGGGACCCATTGTTCTGGACTAATCAAAATTAACTATGGCATTTACGTGGGAGGGAGAGAAAATTGAGTTGCAGGGGGGTAAACACCAGAGCCCTATCTCACTGAATCAATTCAGAAGAATACAACAAAGACAGCAGATAGCTTCTCTATACCAGTTAACATTACTGGAATCAACTCCAACAACTCCAGAATCATCCATTCCCCTAGCGGTTCAGCAACTGTTATTAGAATTTGAATCTTTATTTCAGGAGCCCAAGGAACTACCTCCTCATCGTCAATTAGATCATGAAATACACTCGGAACTAGGTACGAAACCAGTAAGTGTTAGGCCCTATAGATATCCACATTTCCAGAAAGGTGAGATTGAAAAACAAATTCTTCAGATGCTTGATTCAGGTTTCATAAGAAGTAGTACTAGTCCTTTTTCCTCTCCCGTGTTATTGGTTAAAAAGAAAGATGATTCTTGGAGATTTTGCATAGATTACAGAGCTCTCAACAGTATTACAATTAAGGATAGGTTCCCAATACCCACTGCAGATGAGTTAATGGACAAATTGGGTGACTCTCAAATTTTTTCTAAGCTGGATTTGAGATCTGGATATCACCAGATTAGAGTCAAGCCATCTGATATTCACTAGACAACATTTAGAACCCACCAAGGTCATTACGAATTTCTAGTAATGCCTTTTGGGTTAACAAATGCGTCAACAACCTTTCAAGCCACTATGAATCTAATATTGCAGCCTTACGAAAATTTGTTGCTGTTTTTTTTTTATGATATCCTAATTTACAGCTCTAACATGGACCTGCACTTACAACATTTGAGATTGGTTTTAACTACATTGCAGAATAACCAATTTTTTGTCAAGAGTAGTAAATGTTCATTTGCACAGCCGAAGGTAGAATATTTGGGTCATATTGTTTCAGTGGCTAGGGTAGGCATGGATAGCAACAAGATCAATGCCATGTTGAGTTGGCCAGTTCCCAAGAACTTGAAACAGCTGCGAGGATTTTTAGGACTTACGGGCTACTATAGAAGATTTGTAGCTTACTATGCTACTATAGCAGCCCCACTGACGGATTTACTAAAAAAAGATTCTTTTTCTTGGTCTACTGCTGCACAACTTGCCTTTGACAAGTTGAAGGAAGCCATGACTTCAGCACCTGTCCTGGCACTCTTTGATTTCAGCAAGGAATTTGTAGTAGAAACAGATGCTTCTGATTTAGGAATTGGAGCAGTTCTTCTCCAAAATGAACATCCTATCTCCTACTTCAGTAAAAAATTGTCATTGCGAATGCAAAGAGCTTCTGCCTATGTCAGGGAGCTGTATGCTATTACAGAGTCAGTCAAAAAATGGAGGCAATATTTGCTTGGGAGAAAATTTCTCATCCGGACTGATCATAAAAGTTTAAGAGCTCTATTGGACCAAGTAGTGCAGACACCAGAACAGCAGTATTATCTTTCTAAGCTCCTGGGATTTCAGTATTCCATTGGATATAAGCCTGGCAAGGACAATAGGGTTGCGGATGCATTGTCTAGATGCCCTTCTACAATGTCTCTGATGGCCATATCAGTTGTGCAATTCGATTTATTGGAAGCCTTAAAGAAGGAAAATCAACAATCTGTTTTTTTCATTCAGAAATACCAAGATTTGGCAATTAACCCAGAGGCAAACACAGATCTGGAAATCAGAGATGGGCTGCTGTTAAAAAAAAGGAAATTATTGTTGGATCCTACATCACCTTTGATCCACCAAATTTTATATGAGAACCATGCAACATTATCCAGTGGTCATTCAGGGATTCAGAAGACTATGGCTCGCACAACTGCAATTTTTACTTGGTCAGGACTGAAGCAAGATGTTCAGAAATTTGTCAAATCTTGTGTCACCTGCTGATAAGACTGGCAATGCAATCAGAGAAATAAACGCAGCACACAAGTATTTTTGGGCCCAGAAATCTGGATTTTCTTAATATTAATCAAAAGAGCAAATGCTATTACAGTGAACTTTCAATCTAAAGCTTAAAAGAGAAATACTACAGAAAAGTACTCTATAATTTCAGTGCAATTAAAGAGGCACTGATCTCTCCCAAGAACTCCCAATTTTCCCAGCCTCCTCTTCCCCTTAATGCGTTCTGTTTATATAATCACATTAGGATCCTTTTCCATCCCTTGCCACGTCAGCAACAACATGCACCTCACTAACCGAATGCCTTCTAACAGAATTTCCCTTGGCAGCATTATCATTCCCATCTCTCTCCTCTGAGTCAGCAAGAGTTTGTGATCCCCTGTAGCGTTTTCTGCTATACACCCTCATAGTAGTCTTATCAATACTCCCCCCCAAAACCTTCACCTTGTCCTCAAGGTGAAATTCAGGGAATTCAGAATGCAATTGAGCTAAATCTTCTCAAGAGTTCTCAAAGGAAGGAAGATGCAACCACTTAATCAGCACCTCAACCCGACCCATAGAGTTCCTCCGCCATTGAAGGACTGCTTCAGGTTGAACCACAAGTTCCCAATC